TGGTATTTTAACTAAAACATGTATGTCACATATTCTTATGAATGAAATGACTTGCCCATCAAACATTATGAAATTAGGAGTTTCCCTATTCAAATGTATAAAGCTGATAGAAAGTTAATGAATATAAATATTAAAACAAGAAAATCGAGTTTTGTGCAAACACTAATTTTGTAAACTCAAACAAAAACAAGGGCCATCAGTGATGACATGTGTCGCCTCATGATAGCCAATTGCATGTTGCAGCTACTGTGTAGCAGGAGACCCAAAAATCATTAACAGGGCAAAACAAATTTCTTATTCAAGGGCAATAACTCACCTGAAAAATCATTCATGCAAAAAAACTTGTGCAATATGCACAAGTACTTGACCTACGATTAATCCTGTAAAGTTTCATCGAAACTGCATTAATGGTATAAGAGGAGTAGTTCGGACAAACTTTACTAACACCCTTCTTATTCAAGGGCCTTAACTGGGCCAAAAATCATTTTAGCAGAAAACTCGTGTATTATGCCCAAGTACTTGACCTGCGAATCAATCCTGTAAGGTTTCACTGAAATTGCATAAGTGGTATAAAACAAGAAGGGGCCATAACTCTGACAAAATTCATTGAGCTATGCAAAGCCAATGATATGCACAACTAGACTTGGTACTGATCATTCCTGTACAGTTTGGATGAAATTGCACAAATAGTTTTTGCGGGGTAGTCCAGGCAAGCTTTTGTGTATCTTGCAACACACAAAAAAACACCTTTTTTATTAAAGGACCATTACTCAATCAAAAATCATTCAACCGGAAAACCCGTACAATATGCACAAGGACTTGAACTACAGATCAATCCTTTAAAGTTTCACTGAAATTGCATTAGTGGTATAAGAGGAGTAGTCCAGACAAAAAATTATTAAAGGGCCATCACTCGAGACAAATATCATTGAACTGGAAAATGCTGATGATATTGCGCAACTAAACTTGGTACTGATCATTTCTGTCGAGTTTGGATGAAATTGCCCCATTAGTTTATGAGAAGTAGTCTGGACAAATCTTGTGACGGACAGACAGATGGACAGACGGCCAGACAAGACAACGGAGAAGTGATCCCTATATGTCGCCACTACTTCAGGGAGGCGACACAAAAAGGAGTTTTGTGTAACCACTCAGTTTGACCATTTCAACGCGAAAATAAGTTTGACCATTTCAATGCGAAAATGAGTTTGACCATTTCAACGCGAAAATGAGTTTTGTGTAAACACTCAATTTGAATATTCCAACAAGAGAAATGTTTTAGGCAAACGCTTGTCTTGTACATTCCAACAAGCAATATTTGTACAAGAGTCTGCATTAAATCAGCTGTGAAGTAACAATAACCAATATCCAAATGATTACAAGTAGCTGAACTGCTTTGAAATAAAGTACACTCTGGGTTAATTTTTTTAATTCGTTTTTTTATTAAAATACTGGAATTTAGCAGCAAAACTCCCAACAGATTTTGTCACATGGCAAGTTATGACAACACTCGGTAATGGTATGAAGGATGTCTTATTGCCATGAATTTAAATGAATTTTCACATTAATCCTGGTTAATTTTTTTTTTAAGCTTTCACCTAAACTTCCAGCACCCAAACCTCATCAAGTGGAAGTTTGAAAAACATTTTACCTTGCAGATAATTAAATTCCATAACTCTTGACACTTCTAAGAAAAAATTATATGCAACAAGTACTTCAGACTCATTCATATTTGTTTAAACTTATTTCGGCTGTAAAACAAGTTCTTGAAATCTACATTATTTAAATCATTGAAAAATTCAATTCTGGTTCCTGGAACTAACCAGTGCCGGTATCATACAAGGGGTCATAGTTAAGACTCATTATGGACTCGAACTCACAATCCCTGAATAACGAGGCAGACACCATTAACCTTAACCACAAGGACATCGCTCATTCATTATCTTATTGCAATATTTTATGTGGTGTCAGAACCTTCTAAGTTTTCCACACTATATACTCTGCTCTGGCCATAACCTTTGATAAGAAAAGTGAAAACCTTTTCTAATTACAAGATTTAAATGAAATTCCAACAGCTTGTACAAAATTACAGTTTCATTTCTCATTTTGACATATGACCTCCAAGTGTAACCTTGACTTTTAACAATAACCATATTGCCATTGTCATACATTGTATTTAAGTAACTATTACAAAAGCCCTCAATATAGATACTAGAATATTTCTGTTGTGAAAGTTTAATTATTTGACCTTTGACATATAAGTTTGACCTTGGCCTATTATTTCATGATCAGAGCACTCTTGATTAATGAAATATGTGTCATATAGACTGACATATTCATTGAACTACTCCCTAGACTATTTCAAAATTATGATTGTTTGTGATTACGACCAAAAAAAATCAACATATTTAGTGATTAAGAATGTTTTATTATGCTGCACAACACGTGAAACCAAACTAAATAGTGACCTATAGGTTTTTTTACAATAATGAGATGAAATAGTTAAAATTTACTCAAATGTTGATAAAATGATAAAGAAATGTTTAAATAAATGTTAAAGAAAACTTAAAAGAAATAAAATTACTTAATAACTGTGAGTGAAAAGTTTAATACCAAATACCCTATTCCCTTAAAGTTGCTACAGTGATTGCCAATGATACATGTTCATACATCTTAGAAGTTTTAATGCATGTACAGTAGCTTAATGATACACACATAGATATCCCACCCTAGAAAATCAATGCAGTGTGAAATATTTCATTTCTTAAAACTAGTTCGTAGTTTAAAGTCCCTAAACCGAAAATGATCAATACATTATCATGATACCATGAAAATTTAATAAATTTCAATAATGACCTTCATCTTGCACAGTTCTTATATCATCTCATCAACATCAAATACCAAATGCACTAATTTAACCCCAAACACTTAGCCTTTGTCATGTTGTACCCATTAATGAACTTCACCATGTAGACATCAGCACCAAATACCAAATGCACCCATTAACCTCAAACACTTAGCCTTTGTCATGTTGTACCCATTATTGAACTTCACCATGTAGACATCAGCACCAAATACCAAATGCACCCATTAACCTAAAACACTTGACCTTAGACATGTTGTACCCATTACTGAACTTCACCATGTATACATCAGCACCAAATATCAAATGCACCCATTAACCTCAAACATTTGACCTTTGGCATGTTCTTCACATTAATGAACTTCACCATGTATACATCAGCACCAAATACACTCATTTAACTTCATACACTTGACCTTTGGCATGTTGTACACATTAATGAACTTCACCATGTATACATCAGCACCAAATATCAAATGCACCCATTGACCTCAAACACTTGACCTTTGGCATGTTCTTCACATTAATGAACTTCACCATGTATACATCAGCACCAAATATCAAATGCAGCCATTAACCTCAAACACTTGACCTTTGGCATGTTGTACACATTAATGAACTTCACCATGTATACATCAGCACCAAATACCAAATGCACCCATTTACCTCAAACACTTGACCTTTGTCATGTTGTACCCATTAATCAACTTCACCTTGTATACATCAGCATCAAATACCAAATGCACCCATTTACCTCAAGCACTTGACCATTGTCATGTTGTACCCATTAATGAACTTCACCATGTATACATTGGCACCAAATACCAAATGCACCCATTAACCTCAAACACTTGAACTTTGACAAGTTGTACCCATTAATGAACTTTACCATTTATACATCAGCACCAAATACCAAATACACTCATTTAACTTCATACACTTGACCTTTGACAGGTTGTACCCATTAATGAACTTCACCATGTATACATCAGTATCAAATACCATATGCACTCATTTGACCTAAAACACTTGACATGTTGTTCACATTAATGAACTTCACCTTGTATACATCAGCACCAATACCAAGTGCACTCATTTGACCTCAAACACTTGACCTTTTTGGACCCATGCTGTACACATTAATGAACTATACAATGTGTCTTATTAATATCTGAGCATGACTTGACTCATAAGTACTGCTTAGATCTTGACCTCTACAAGCGACCTTTGACATTGTCCAATGCAATGCTGCTTTAACAACATAATATACTGTTATTCAATGTTTTGACCTTTGACTGTTTCCAAATATGACCATGACCTTTTTTACCATTTATCTGTACTTAAAATACACACAAGGTAATGCCTTGTTAAAAATTAATGCCACTATTACTTGGTAAAATTGAAAAATAATAAATGGGTATGCAATAAATAAAATGAAGGATGACAGGACCTTTGACCAACTTAGAGCTGCAGAAGCTTTTAAAATATATAAATATAATTTTATCAAAATGTAAGGTAAATAACCAGACTTTGAATATATGCTATGAGTAATATTACTAAAAGATATTCCCCATAGAAACTACAAAAAAGTTGTAGTTTAAACATTTGACAAATAAATCTTTGTAAAAACTAATTCAATGGCATAAAGCTGTTGGAAAATTATATGTTATCTTATTAAAAGTGATAGTACATATTTGAAAGGTTCAAATCAACACTGCATGAAGCAATACATGCTGTCATTAATTGACAAATTATATCGCACCCTAACACTGATGTTTTGAACCTTCCTATTTCATATAAAAATTTTGGTTATTAAGAAAGAAATGGCACATAAAAATCTATATTTTACATACATAAACAGACAAAATTTCATTAGAAAAGTAAAGAAGGCATATCTAGCTAAACACTAAATTTTCATACATGTAGATAAATATAAAAAAGAAAAGAAAATAAAGAAAGCATCTAACTAAACACTAATTATTTTCCTAATAAAAGCCTTCATCATAAAACACTTGCAACAGTTGCGTTCACTATGTTTGTTATATTGTTCACACTGACAGCGTCATTCATAGTTTCCATGGTTACATTCATGATGACTGTACCGTTTGCTCCGGCTAAACATAAATCCACAGGTTCATCAACCAACAGCAAACCTGAAAATTAAATATTTAATTCTCAGTATATACAGGTATATCATACTGATGTGTCTATATAACAGTTTTAATTCTAACATTGAACTTATGAAATAAGGGTATTCAATAGTTTTTGCATTTACATTGTAGTATCCAATATATCCTATATTGGACTGCTATATATATGTATGTACATTACAGGTTATACTTTACCATTTTCACAGCTTGATTAATCACATTAGGTATGCCTACTGCTAGCCAAATATTGTTCCTTCAGCACTAAGCATGTGTATTTGTTCAAATAAATTTCACAATTGTATAGTTCAGCATTAAACAACCTGTAACTATGTGTTTAATCTTGAAAACAACTGAAGGATAGGGTTGATCATAACTCTATCATATCTCAAAGCACTACTGAGAACTTGTTTACTAACATGGTATAATGCATCCAAAAGGGGCGTGTACTTATTATCAAATTTTGTACTTACCAAGCAATAGAAGCGGTAATTAGACATGTAACCACACCTCCAAGGAGTGATTTTAACACAATAGTAGCAATGTGGCCACGCCTCTCAGGAGCCATTGATCCTAAAGCTCCCATCTGGACACCAATACAGCCAATATTTGAGAAGCCGCAGAGAGCATATGTTGCTATCACTTGAGATCTGATCTGAAATAAAATGGTGATCTAAAATTACATCAATGTAAGACTATATGATAATAGGCATCTTTAATATACCTTTTACTTAATTGCTTTGAAAGAATTGTATAACCATTTACCATACAGTAGTCCTGCCTCGGTTTCTACCATCTTGTATGGTATGGTTAAACCTTTTAACAGTACATGTATACTGTTCCACTGTTACTATTTAGATTTTATTTGACTTTCCAGTTTGTCTATAGATATACTATGGTGGCTGAAGTTTTATAACCAGCAATATTGTCTTTTTTATTGTGTTGTCGGACGTTGGGCATCATGTCATTTTACCTTCTGCTAGCAAAATCACTGGGCGGTAACAATTTTTGTTGAACTGCAAGTTAATATGTGTTGTCATCTTTTCCTTTTTCACCAAATGCTGCATGATAACGTACCAGACAACAAACTATTTAAAATGCACTAATTGTTCGAGCAGCTGTTTAAATGGCGTCCTCTTATGGTTTGAGCTAGGGACAATATGCCACACAATATCACAAAACCAAATGAATTAGACAGATATCAAGAATGTCATTTAAATCTTTTAAATATATAGATATGGGAAGTAACTCTTACATCACACTGGAGAATGCCAAATAAATATATAACCAAGTACTTACATCAATTTCATGGAGTACTTACATTTGTATTACTTGACAATGCCAAAAAAAGAAGAAAAAATCACCCGGAAGTGAAAAATTTAAATACAATCCTTTGGTCAATGTAATATATCATAAACAATTAACTTTAATTAAAGTTTGGTTTTACTTTAATTAAAGTAGAATGTATTTCAAAATCCTGAAAACACAAAACATTTATGTTATTTTCACAGTGAGTGATATATTCCGTTATCTCACTAGTAACACATATTGGCTTTATATAGAATTGTGAACTTACTGAGAGATAGTCCCCAGTACATGTTGACCTGTTCTCAATAAATTTTGCAAGTTCCTTGTAGGCAACAAACTCATTCAAGAAAGTTTTGATTCCAACCAATTCTCCCACAACACCTGCATCTGACCATTCTACACCCATTAAATATGCCATTGGCATAAAAATGTATGAACAGATCAACTGAAATATAAAATTTACACATTTTTATAACTATGGTTTTTCTAAATTCATGTTTACAAATTCATTCATCTTTTTCATAATCAATTTGTAAATGAAAAAAACTGTAATGTAAGTTATTTTGAATAATAGTAAGTGATATTAGTAAGTAATTAGGTACTCATAAAATACAACCCATTTCACCGGGTCCACTTCTTCAAATAAAGTCTAATTTCTAGTTTCTAATGATATCATATTATTCTACATAATTATAAAATAATACTCACTCTTAACATTTAATATATACTAGATATAGTTTTGGGGTGTTACGTTTATCTGTTTAAACGTGTATGGTTGGTTTATAGCTAAAATCCGGTTAGAAAATTAAATAACTGGTAACCGAGGTTGCTTATTGACAAAGAGTAGATTCTGAAAAAGTTTTAAATTGATTATAAACATTACCTTAGTTTCTTATAACAAGATATGACATTTTGTTTATCTTTTAGTTGTTCTCAACAATAACAATGTATTTTTCGGATCTGATCGTTAACGGTACGACCCTAACGAAAAAATAGTCATTCCATACTCGCATATGTATTGTAAAAGAAAATGTGAATCACAATGTCATATCTTGTCATAAAGAAACAAACTTAATGTTGAAAATCTAAGGATTTTTAAGTGTGGTCGGTTAAAAGTTTAACACGATTAACTTGTCTCCGTTTAAATGGTTAGCATTTATTCTAACCATGACACCCCTAATAAAGTTACCCTGTTTATAAAATTTAACTGTCAGACGGCAGTGCTTTGGTACATATTTTTTTTTAAATAACTGTAATATCAATAAAGTAAATAAATGATTACCTGGAAGGTGAATTCAGGATGACAAACGAAGCTTCCTAGCCAGGACAGGATGGCATTTACGAATGCCAATAATGATAGGAAGGCAATAAGATTGGCAGCAATGATGGCAACCAATTTGATGGAGGCTGATGCGCCAGCAGCTGCAGCATCTATAATATTTCTCTCCTTACTGAAATAAAGATAAAATATTGGCAATATTAATCATGACACAGAATAAAGTAATGGCTGCTAAAGGTTCGTATCGTATTTGTTATCATCCTGAAATAAAAATACATTGGTATACATCATGACATCAAATGAAACATTGGCTTCAGTGATGCTATCTTAAATATTTTTGCACTTCCTGAAATAAGAATGTAATATTAGCAATACAGATTGCTACATAACAAAGCATTGGCCTAAAAGCAGCTGAGTCTCAATAATGATTATTTCCCTTCCTGAAATATAAATCTAATATTAGCAATAAATAATGGCACAGAATATAGAATTGAATTCTGTAAGTGCAGACATCTGCAAAAGATTCTCTCCCTTCCTTAAAGAAATATAATATTGAAACTAAATATGATACCAAATGGAGCATTGAATTATACAGCCTCAATATAATGTGACTTTTGTGTGTGTCCCTTTTCTAAACTAGAATTGTAATCATGGCAATAAACATGCTACATATAAAGCATATCAGTGTCTGCTGCAGATTCAAGAACATACCACTAATATATGTATCTTAAATAGATTTGTTTTTCATTCAATTTGGACAAAACCATTCATTTTTTTCAGGGCAAATTTGATAGAAGCATGGAATAAATAGTGGACTGTGCAGATCAAGATCAGATGGCACAGATCACATGAGTAATGAAACATAACATAAGATAGCATAATTAGATATAACATAACATAATATAACATAATGTAACAAAACATAACATAAGAAAGCATAATATAAGATAACATGATTTAATACATAAACCGCGGCGCAGGAGTGTAATAAAGCCATTTAATAATAAAAACGATATCTAGTGTAATAACAATTTGATGTGATATCATTTGCGCTATATATTTACATAGCGTTAAAGCACACTAATGTTAGCGTTACACTATAGGCATGTCAATGAAAATTACTCTTTTTAACAGTTTTCTCTTCTTATTTTATATATGTGATAAATAGAATATTATATTCAATACTAAATCTATTGAACTTGTTAAATAAAACAGAGGCTCGCATAATATGATTTTATTTAACTCTTTCAATAAATTTAGTATTAAACCTATACTCATTCAATATCCTCTATGTAACTTGACATAATGTAACAAACAACAACATAACATAACTTGACATAACATAATAATAATAATAATAATAATAATAATAATAATAAAGTCTTTATTTAAAGAGGCTACACAGTTGCAACAAAGGCAATCTACCCTGTGGGCCTCATAAAATGTACATATTTACAATCATATAGTTGTGAATAACATGAAATATTATGCAGAAACATTAACATAATTATTTTGATATTGCAATAGAAAATGACAATTATATAATTATATAAAGTGCACACAAAAAAATATACAGTGAAACAAGGCACTTCAAAATTACAAATAAACCTTTGACAATACAATGTAACAATATTTCAACAAGAGCAGTGTTTTTCTTACAATTTTATATTTCATTTGTCTTTTTCCAATTTTCTATATATTTATGTTTAAAGTTTTGAAGTGATTGTGCAGAGCGTATGCTGATTGGTATTTCATTCCAAATTTTTGACCCTGAATAGTTAAAACTTTTTCTGAAAAATTCTACTTTTGGTTTTGGTTGGTATATGTTAAGTTTTGAATCTGTTGAACGTAGGGTGCGAGAATGAATAGTATGGTTGAAGGTAAATTTTTGTTTTAAGTACTCTGGGCAAATATTGTTAATTGACTTATATACCATAATTGATTGTTTATATTTGACTCGGTCTGGGAATTTCATCCAGTTTAATAAAATGAATAGATCTTCAGACGGGGCATCATATGGTTGATCTAGTATAATCCTAGCTGCTTGTTTTTGAAATCGAACTATGGATTGTATTTGCTCCAAATTACAATTTCCCCAGATAGAGCAACAATAGTCTAAGTGAGGTATTATGTAGGAGTTAAAAAATAGTTTTCTAATGGGAATGTCTATGAAATATTTAATTCTTTGCAGTAGGTACAATTTGGAATTGCACTTTTTTAACACATGATTAATATGGTTTTTCCAGTTTAATTTGCTGTCAACTTGGACACCGAGAAGTTTCTCAGAGTTGGAACATTCTATTAAATTATTGTCTAAATGTAGCGTGTTTAATAATTTGGAGTCTGTTTTGTTTGATGGACAAATTGCCATTGCCTTTGATTTCTTTGCATTTAGTGACATAGAGTTCATTTGACACCAAAAATTTACATTATCTAATGCAGTTTGTAATTTAGTTTGTACTTCCAGATAAGTTGTTCCAACTGCAGAGATAGTTGTATCATCAGCAAATATATCTGTAAAAATTTCTTTTAGCTCCTTTGGAAGATCATTAATATATATTAGAAATAAAAGTGGACCAAGTACAGATCCTTGAGGAACTCCTGATTTTATATGTCCTGGTCTGGTTCTGATAGTTTCCCAGATACAGATACCTTTTGAAGCCTATCCTGTAGGTAGGATATAAACCACAGTATTGTTTTATTGCTAATATTAATTGTTTGTAGTTTCTGAATAAGAATAGAGTGATCTACTAGGTCGAATGCCTTTGAAAGGTCGAGAAATAGTGTTCCAACAACTTTTCCATCATTAATAGCATTTTTCCACCTATCTACTATTGAAAGTAAGGCAGTTTCACAGGAGTGATCTTTTCTAAAGCCAGACTGATAGTTATAGATTAAGTAATTAGATTCTAGAAAGTCTTTGAGGTTATTAGAGACATGGCGTTCAATGATTTTGGTTAGTATTGGAAGGATTGAGATTGGTCTGTATTTGCATTTGTCACTTTTAGAACCTTTTTTAAATATAACATATTTATTTGATAATAAGCATGATAAGGCCACTGATCCATAATATACAATGCAACATGAGAAAAGAATCATCTTAAATGACTAGAATCAGTTTCAACCAGCAGACTGAGGCTAATAAATCGTTTTAAAATGAATGTTAAAGACAATCTTACCTTTCTCCCATGTCAACATCAGATATTTTTCTAATTTTACTCTTTTCTGTCTCAGGATACAATAACTTCGATACTGCTAGAGCACCAGGTGCGTTCATCACTGACGCACATAGTAAATGTTCAGGTGGTACCTACATAACAAATGAAATCAAATATAAAAAGTCATAGATCATAATAATTTATTTAATAAACGTGACTTTTTAATGTTATAATTAATATTTTTTGTGGGTTATGTAAGTCATACGGCAACTTTCTGGTGAAGCAAACCCCAGTCTGGTTCCCCAAATGCACATTTTAGGCATGAGTGGGCAATATGAGAAGAACTAACAGTCTTACATAATCTAGCTGGAGGTAATGTTGTAACACATAGAGGTTACAGACATGATATTAGAAGTAAGGAATCTTAGCAACTAAACAATTTCTTGTTTCTATGTCACAATAATCATTCAGATTTTAAAATCATAGAGCAAATTTCCAGGCTTGCCTGGGTATGTAGACTCAAAGAGTTCCGTATCTTTCATTGCCTACAGTGAACAGAGTTTCATTCCTGCTAACAAATATACACTAAACAAATTGTTAATTAAATATTAACAAAACTGTAAAGCAAACGGATAATTCACCAATATTTTAAGATATAAAGACTTAAATTCAGTAGTACTTATATTATGTCACGATTTTAAAATTAGAAACATTAAAGCCAAAAGTGGATAAATTACCCCAAAGGAGATGTAAGCTGCCATCACTCCTCCAGCAATTGTAGCAAATCCTCCAGTCATAACAGCATTTAGCTCCGACTTTGTCATTAGTAGCATAAAAGGACGAATCATGATGGGTGCTTCAGTCTGAAATAAAATCCAGTAAGATATGTCATACTAAAAAAATGACCACCTTGAATTTACTTTTCTCATTCCTAAATCTTGTTATTATCCTGAAACCATTTTTCTATTTTAATAACAGTGACCTTGATCATAGGGGTTAAAAAGCAATCCCAACCTGGGTCTTCATATATAGCTTGCTATATACCAAGTTTCATTACAATATCTCATTCATTAACTCTTTTTATTGTCCAGAAATCATCTTTCTATTTTTATTAACACTCCATGACCATTACCCCAGGGTGTTCAAAAGCAATCCCAAACAGAGTTTCCAAATAAGGTTGCTTTTTACCAAGTTTGATTACAATAACTCTTTCCAAACCCTAATTATCCTCTGGAAACCATGAAGTGGGCCGTCAGACAGACCAACAAGCTGACTCCTATATACCTCCCCCACCCCTCCCCACAAACTGAACGTGGGGGTTTAATTATCATTATAAATTTTGCTATTTAATCAATCAGTTAATTATGTAATTTTTATTAGCATGTACAATGGTGTCTTTAATTGTAACAACAAATGCCAGTAAGACAGAAACCTTACCAATACCTTACAGCCAATTTTAGCAAAGTTATTTAACTTCAATACCAGAAAGGCGAAGATCATATAAAGGTAAAGTTCATTTTAACCTACTTGAAGGTTAAAATTTATCCTATGTGTTGGTAAGTCCAAATATGAATCAAACTATTCATAAGTAACAAACTTATAGCCCATTTTAGCAAAATTTAACGATTGTACCATATAGGTCAATGCCAAATTAAGTTTAGTCTACTAAAAAGTAATATCCCTGGTCTACTTAAAATTAATATCTGACTAAGCATTGCTATATACAAGTATGAATACAATACACTCAGAAGTTGTAGCTTATTACAGAAAAATTCAGCAAAACTCAAAGAATTTACCTTGAGGGTCAAGGTTATTTATTGGACTCAATGTCAAATTCCTTATGACATGCCCAAAGAAAACCTCATTACAATAGTTATTACTCCCTTTTCAGTTTTATTATGCAATGTAATTGGTTGAGTAGTTTTGAAGAACATGAGGGTTTAAAAAATTTGAAAATCCTGAATTTAGCAATTTTTATCCTGAATTAAGCAATTTTTATAGTTTTAAAAAGAAAAAGATTGCTTTCAGGAGTCTGAAAATCCTGGACTGCAAGACTGGTATTCTCCTGGAAACTTTCACTCATGAGATTGTGTGTAGGCCCAGTCAGGCATCCAGGCAGATGGACAGCCTCATACCAAGATTATGACTGTGTGCCTTACATTTTTCATTGTATGAGGGTAAAAATAAAGGTACATAAGAGATTTGTTAACATTATTAAATCTATAAAGTAAAACACAAAAATATAACAGTACATTTATTAAAACATTTAATTGTTACACTTGTCTTGCATGGAATAAAGTCATTTCAAAAGTTTATATGTCACTTATTCTTAAGGTCACTGAATACTTCACATAAGGTCACTGAGCACTGATTACTACAATTAAATCCGAGTGTGTGTTAAAATATTTAAATACGGTAGTTAAGACCATTTTAATGCCAATTTATCTGTATATAGAAAAACCTGATAAAATTTCATTCATGAATTATCAAGTTTAAACTTAAATAACTAAGTACGGTAGGTTTAAAGTAATTCTTTAAGTTAACAATGGATCTTTGATTAAATGTATTAATCTCCTGATTTCTAAAGCATTGGCAGGTGTAGTGTGGTCTAAAAAAATACTGGTGCATGACAAAATAGTGCTTGAATTTAAACTTGTCTATATTTTTTCATTCTTCTTACTTAAAAAATCAATAATAATTTAGTATAATTTACAATCTTGACTTTTTAACAATGACAAATGGGACATTGGAATTTGAAGCTTTTGTATTAGAATAATACGGAAGTTTGGGATATACATTTGAAGCTTTTTGTATTATGCAAAAGAAGGAAGAAGTTTGAAGGTAACTTTAAAGTTTATTATTGTACACAAATAGGAATTGCTGCAATTTGGATTTCTACGAAAACGAAATTATCAAAAAGTGCTCAATTCTATAGTAGCTACTTCTAACCTTCATAATTCTAAAAGCAACACACATACCAACTTAAAGAATTATTACAATCACAAATGCAGGTCATTTACATTTAAATCTACTATGAAAAGTTTTGAATTATATGACTAAAACTGAAGACTGAAAAAAATATTTTAAACAGAAAGAAATATCAACATAAATCAAATGGGAAGTTATATATTTTTAGGGAAATGGATATTTAATCATACAAAGAATGGAAATTGTATACAAAGAGTGATATTTTCAAATGAGAAAGGTTATTGACAGCTGCTGCTGTACTTACCGTAAGTCTATGAATTAAAAAAGTGATCCTGGAGACAGGTGATTTGTCAACAAAGGTTTATCACCACTGTGAATGGTCAAACAAAAATAAAAGATAAAAAAAGAAAATGTAGTCGGAATTGATCGAGAGTGGGGTGACAGTGTTTGAAATCAAAAGGTGTCTTTGAATAAAGATTGCATGAAATAAACTTTAGTTTTCCATAAAATTTATCAACAAATAGTTTACTTTACATCATCATTGATTAAGTGAAACAACAAACATTAAAAGGTATGTCTCATAAGGGGGAAAATTTTGCAGCCTTTACTGTTCTCTTACTGGTCGCAATAAATGTTGCGGGTCTAGGCATACCCGTGTGGTATAACAAGGAACACAGGCATAGTGTGAACGCGACTGTTGAAAAACCCAACTGTGTTGTACATGTGAATGTTCGGGAAGGCTTGTGGCAAAGATACTGTATAGAAAGCAGGGTAGAGAACTGTGAATTGGATGTTCAAGGTGAGTTACTATTTTTATGTTCTAATATAGTTATATATATATAGTTCTTATATAGTTATATTTTTATGTTCTTATATAGTGTACTATGTTACTATTTTTATACTTAAAATTATCCTTGTAGACTGCATTATAAACATTTCATGAAAGGACATTGTACAAATAAACAGGAGTTTTAAATGGTCACTATGGCGTGTTAAGTTCAAAATGAAATAAAACCAGCTAGAGATCACATGTGGGCTTAAAACATTATCAAAGGCCTGAAGTTGTACAATAGTTTCTGTGAAACTGTTTTCAGAGTCAAATTCGACAGCCTTGTAAATGCCTGTAAAGTAAATCATACATGCTATCTAGTCTCACCTATAGAAGAGAACTAATTTTCATTTTGGATATTTCTTCTTTCTTTTATTATAATTATTTTGATTCCTTAATTACAGAATGGTGTGACAATCTAGATTTTCCAGTGTACAATGATTTTGTCATAGCAACAGAAATATGTGGTGATTTGATTCTATTGTTTGTGTTTGGAACAATTATTCGTAGCAAATGTCGGAAAAAATCATTCCATCTAGAGATGGTGGGGGCAGAGGCTGGTCTTGGAGGTATGTGACAATGTTGTCCAACTGTTTCTAGAAAAACTTTATATTACTATGATAGTGTGATGACAGTTTAACTTATTTTTAATTTATAACCCTCAACCTGTTAATGGACTTGTCTGGCTTTCAATTCTGGACATGTCCATTATCAATATTGGGGATATCAAGATGAAAATTCAAAGTTATTCAGCTGACAGTAATGATGAGCCTGGCCAGACTGCAGGGTTGTACAGACTGGCCCAAGTCTCTATACTATTGAAAAAGGCCAATAACTTTCCGTTCTGAGCACGTTAAGGATCAATATTAGACAGGTAATGACAAATTTCACAGTGACAAGGTCAAGTGACACAGGATCATAACTGAGGTCCCTGGATCTACTTTGGTTGTTTTTGTACCTATTTCACACCAGTGATTATTACGTATGCAGAAATATCATACCACTTTTTCTGATATTTGTCACAATTTAGAATGGATCACTATTTAGGGGAGATCAAGTGCACTTAAGCTGCCAGTAAGCTCAGTTGGTAGAGTCGTGTTATGGTATTTCGAGGGTCCCAGGTTCAAGTCCTTGTCAGGCTGCACATTTTTTTCACCCTGTGACATTTGGCACCCAACGGGGGTGAAAAAATGTAACCCCCATTGCTAGTCAAATAGTGTCATATGAGACAGTTTGTTATGAGCTCAATTTAGCTTAAATCTACAAGATTTTAGTTGAGAATTTACCATTATTTATCTTTATATGGTTTTGCTTCAACTGACAAAACATAATTATAAATAGAATAAAATATACTTTATTGATGATGCAGGACATATAAATTACATGTCCAACTGTATTCTCACACTATACTTTTATACATTTATATAATACAGTATACTTTTATACACATGTGCCATTTTCATATAAACCACAATTTTATTTTCATGTATTGACAGGTCTGTTAATGATGGTTGGTGTTCTAGTGTACGCAGCAGCCGACAGTGAGATAGGTTACCAGGCAACGGACCTCCATATTGGTTGGGCATTATGTTTGTCAGCAGGGGGCATAGCATTCTTATTGTGTATATTTTGTATATGTAGGCACGTTAAATCAATACCCACAATGCCTGAAGGTTATTTTCCTATAGACGATGAAGATGACGAAGATGAATTAATGTTAATGGATGTGTGACAGACAAAAGTGTGACATAATGTCACAGAAAATATGTAACAGACAACCATGTGACATTATGTCACAGTAAATATGTGACAGACAACCATGTGACATTATGTCACAGTAAATATGTGACAGACAACCATGTGACATTATGTCACAGAAAATATGTAACAGACAAACATGTGACATATTGTCATAGGAAATATGTAACAGACAACCATGTGACATTATGTCACAGTTAATATTTAACAGACAACCATGTGACATAATGTCACAGAAAATATGTAACAGACAACCATGTGACATTATGTCACAGTAAATATGTAACAGACAAAAATGTGACATAATGTCACATAAAATATGTAACAGACAACCATGTGACATATTGTTAGGGTAAATATGTAACAGACAAAAATTTGACACATTGTTACAGCTAATGATGTGACATATTGTCACAGTAAAAGTGTTACAGACAAAATGTTAGTGTTACCTCAAGTATGATTATCTGTCACAGCAAATGTACAACAAATAACAATGTGACATAACATCACATGTGTAACAAACAAAATAATTTACATGTATGTAAGTGTTTAAGTAAGTGTTAAGCAGAGAAATGTGTAACATAAAAAAACATGTTTATAGCATCACATCAATATCATGTAAAAGTCAAAGACAGTTCATGATGGTGTCAAAGACAATGGATGAGAAACAAAAATGTAAAATTTCATGAAGTTCATGTAGTAACCAGGCCGAAACATCATCAAGGATGAGCTAGGCTTTTTAGGCAGATTTGCGGGCATTTTCCCATCTTGTTATTATTCATCATGGTGCAACATGGGTGTGTAAACAAACATTTCTTTATTTTTGTTTAAAACTGGTATAATGAAGCAAATATAATAAAGACTGTTAATGTTAATAGCCCATATTAAAAATAAATGGAAATGTAAAATTAACATCATGGTGTAACTTATCATATGTAACAGATTTCACTATGTGAAACACACAAAAATATGTGTAATGGATATCTTAGAGACAAAAATGGAACACATAAATATTGTATTGTATACATGTATGTAAATGTTGGACAGAACTTGTCATTTTTATTATAAAGCAGGGAGATTTTTATAATAAAGCAGCAAGATGCAAATAAATCATGTTAAAGTTTACTGCCAGGTGCAGTAGAAACATAGAACTGTTATAATATAATAATAAAATGCATAATGTCATATTATATCTGTTGCTTTTAAAAATTAAATATTTTAAATATCATCCTTATATAGATCTAAAGAATTCATTTTCTGATATTCAACATTACTAACAGTATACGTTTAGGGGTGGCAAAACTAATGGTCCATATTGCCCAGGTTGTCCTGTATAATTTTAGTGAGAATTAAAACGGGGCTGTGTTTTATATCTAATACAAAACCTCATTACTGCCGTAAACAGTTACCCTCAAGCTAGATATTCTGGTCTGACTACTGGCAGCTAGTGTAAGATTCTTATAATAACTTTCAATTGTTGGTCAATCACTTTTAAAACAGTCATCATAGGTAACTGAGCTAAACTTTATGGCAGAACATGAATATATTGTAGCCTGTACGGACAAGTGGACATATTCAAGAATTTACTATATATTTATGATATAAAACCATACAAAAATAGAGTTACAGGATCTTTAAAGATCCAAAACTCAAAACCAAATCGGACGAATAATCAATTATCATGACAAACAGTTGTGGATGTCAGATAGTCTTCTATCCGGAAAGCTCCACTTAGTTTCAAACAGACATCTACAGTACATTCAGAGGACTTCTACAAACTTCTAACAAAATTTGAGTAACAGTTATGCCCCTTGAATTGCATCATTCTATAGACAAATTTTAACAAACTACTGTAACAGAGACAAATGTTTCAAATACTTACATGTCCTACGAAGATATTAGCTGCAGCACAAAGGGATTCTGGGGCTGTTGTTCCTAGGACCATCTTTAGCAACCACCCTATCTTACTAATGATCATCTGCATGGCTCCAAGGTAATATAAAACATTTATAACGCAGCTAAAGAATATAACCACCGGTAAAACCTGAAATATAGTGAAAATAAAACATGTTTAACTCTATGTGCTATTTGTATCACATGCAATTTTACTTGTAGGACATCTTTTCCACTAAATTGTGAAGGGGTCTTATTGACAAATCATGAAGGAGCCTTTAAGGCTGCTGTGATATAGTGAAAAGAATCCCTGACTTGATAAATTTAACTTGATAGTATAAACTTGATACATTTACTTAACACATTCAACTTCATTTTAAACTGGATATAGACCCTTTCATTTAAGCGATAACAGTCTGGGAAGAGTTACTTCCCTTACCGGATGTGACGTAAATGGGGGATAAAAATATGCAGGCCGCATAGAAAGTGAGCTTATTGAAAAGTTAAATTCGTAAATACTGATCGCTAATTATGATTATAACATGTAAAAATTTACCCATGCATACATAAATTCAATATCAAGACAATAGAAAAAAATACAAAAAACAAAGATTGAGATTAATTCTCGTTACTGTATGGAGTGAAACAGCAAAATTTCAAAGTGAATATATTTATTAGATCTAGATTTTCTCTAATGCCAGGATTAAAAGCTAGTAACTTTTCAACAAATTTTAATATTTTATAAACACTCATACACACTGAATTTACCTATTATAGATTTAAATGGACATTTTCTAGTTTTCTGTGTTATTTTCAGTCATTTAGAAAATTCCGGCGTATATGTGACAAACATGAAAATAAGATTGCCATGCAATGTCTGTTAATGATTGTTTTTCAAGCTTGAATAGAACAATAACAGAATACATTCTGTCAATACTTTTTTATGCCGTATAATTTTTTTTTTTAAAGAACCAGTGAAGGATATAATTTTATAAATATTCCGGAAAGAACAAAAACCATGTGGCATTGACTTTTATAATTTTAGATTCGCAACAGACGATAATAAGATAATTTTGATATTAAAAATCTATTCTTTAAAGACCTTTTCCCAGTAACTTATTTCATAGATAAATAGATGTGTATATTTAAGCGCCACTGGGCCGTAACATATTAAGTAACAGGGTGCTTATGTTGTATATACAAGCGGCACTTGGCTGTGATATCATAAATCACCAGGGTGCATTTTTTTAGAGTTATAACATTACATCAGATTACGTCACTTTGTTAGTTGTCAAAATATTTATGGTCCGAATTTAGATATGGATCATCCTAGGGACTTTATTGGTCATGCCTTACTGATCTGATACTCGATCCAGAGTCCTACCAACTGGTTAAGTCAAAAATACGTAATAATAATAATAATAATTCAACTTGTTTTTTTGTTTTTTGTTGTTTTTTTTTAATTTGATAAGCAGAGTATGAATTAAAAATTATCAAGTTGAAAATATTACTTTACCAGCCTAAGTATATTGGTGTGATGTACGATTTTTTGAGAGTGCATTTTTTTGCCGACACAAATAGTATACAGTCATGTACATTCAAAACAAAAGAATTTTTACTTTTTATGCCTTTTAATTTTTTTGTTTTGAAATTACATACATTTATATTGTTTTCTTTTCTCTGTTTTAGTTATGCTTAAATCAAAATGATTTTTAATAAACCAGTATCTTGCAATTAATTATTACGCAGCCGTTTTTCGAAACTACAGAATCCATCCTTACATTTTTGAAACTCAAAATATCTTTTCAGAGACATAGATACATTTTCTATATCTCTGGTATAAGCAAGTAAGTACGATTTAACTGCCTGGTAAAATTTTCATTATTAAGAATCTAACGAAAATGGTAATCATGATCAGTTACCCAGGAATATGGTCTACTATTAAAACTAATCGTTACCCGTAACCTTATTATAGTAAACATTTTTATTCATTTCACGATCCTTTTTATGTAATATCTTATTCAATTACACAAAATTTTGGCAATTTCAATCTGCCAATCTTACAAGAGAAAGGATTAAGATCTTTATATCCCTCTATTATTGTACTCAATCGTCAATCGGCATTGTCCACCGTATCCCCCAATGACGTCATCCAAGGGCGACAACTTGAATACGGTCTTAAATGAAAGGGTCTATATTTAACTGTCCATCAGCAGCAATAACTTGACTTAAAGCTGTAAGCCTCCAGATGAGCCAAAGTATTTTTCAAGAAAATCAATCTTTGTTCAAAGATTTTAAGAAAAGTAAAAAGATTCAAAATTCAAGTAATAATTTAATATATGTAATGTGCAATTTATTTCTGTTTTTGTAATATTTCTCTTCATAATTCTACTGTGTGACTGACACAGTATCATAAGGGCTATTTTTGCATATTAATAGACCAACTTTTAGAAGTTAATGAAGATTGTTAGTGCCATTTGCAAATTGCAAATCTTTTTTTTTTTTGTTCATTTAAAAAAGTTTTACATTAAAAACAATTTTAAAATTAGCATAAATGTGGATGCATCTGCTTTATTGTTTTGGCATGTTTAACTTAAACTTAAAAGTTGATACATTTATGATTAACTCAACATCATAACACAAGATAAATTTAATGTATTTAACCTGGGATGTACTATCGTATGTTCCAGATTTAACTTGACTGCATTTATAAAACACATCATTAACTTGTTATATTGAAATTCACAGGATAAAAGAAAGCTTGCACTTGAGACAATTAATTGCCTGAGCATAAATTTGATATTTTTAATATTTAACTTGACAGCATAAATTAAGACCACAAAAACTGGATACATATAACTTGTCAACATTTAACAGTAAACATACAGTCAAACCTGTCTTAGCAGCCAGCTAAGGGATGCAGTCATTTTAGTTGCTTAAGACTGCTGAATGGCGGTTCAAGTTATTATTCAAATCGACAGTAATTAAGTTTATTAATCTTCTTGAGCAATTATTAAACATGCTGTATTCAATGAATATTTAGTAGCGTTACACCTTAGAAATGACAACCATATAGTATTATTCTGGTATTAATTAAAATATTCGGAACTGCTTGATTATGTAGGTAGTCAGTGTTTTAGAAAAGCATGCTAACAGGAATAAAGTCGTTTTAGAAAAGCGTAATATTTAACAGGAATAGTCATTTCATCTGAATTTCTCTACTCAATATTAACTTATTTTATATCCCTGAAGCATAATTACAAAAAATTAATGGCTAAAATGACATGTAGTTTTTGATAATCTCTGACGCATATTATCTTTGAACATTAGCAGCAGCTGGGATTTAAATAACCATATTTTCACTCCCAGGCAGCAGGTAGTGACTGGCTGTTTCACCTCACTGTCTGCATGCTGATGGATCAACACAGCATAGCTTACAACATAGCTTACGATTTGAGAAGCATTTTAGGTGACCACTGACCGGGACCAGCAGGTGACTTCTGAACAGATGTACAAAATAGAGTGATTTTCAATGGGCGTAAAAAAATGGCTGTTCTAGCCGGGTGACAGATAATACAGATACCTCTGTATTTAAATTTATATAAAAGTTTAAACATTTAAGCTTTTTATTAAAATTGGCTTTACAAAAAATTTGCTGTTGAAATACTGCCTTTATGAGACATCACTGGTTTCAAACATATTAATGAACCATTTAACTTTAAACCTGAACCACCTCCCCACGTAAAGAATAAAAACACACTCAAATTAACCTTAATTTCTGTCATATTTATAAATCAATTTCCTAGCAAATTCATAAGTTATCCTAAATCACTATGTATGTACATATGGCAGATATATTTCTGCCATACATTATCTAATAACAAGCTTTTGATGTAGTCAATTCTTACCACATAATTATGAGCTATATTATGTAATTATAAATGTATATGAAATTTTTTTTTTATGATTGTTATCACAATTTGTGTTTGTTCTCTTCTTTTTTCTTATTTTTTATAATTATTTCTAGTTAATACAAATAGAAGTAAATATTATTGATAATTTAAACAAATTCAATCCCTGTCCATCATGTCTCCAATATCTTTGACATACAGTCAACTATCGTTATCTCGACATTGCTTTTCTCGATATTTCGTTATCTCGAAATTTTGAAAGTCCCGAATTTCTTCCTTCTTTATCTATATTGGATATATTTGTTTATCTCGATATTTTTATTTCGATATTTTCAGTATCTCGATGTAAAATTTCAGCCCCAACAGTTATTTTCAGTTATTATCCTTTGTTTATTTCTACTAATAGTTTTCTTTTGTCCGTTCCCTTCAGACATGTGAAAAACAAACCAGACGATAATTGCTCAATAGCACGTGTCATAATGATGATTATGTTTGTAACAAGTTGGGTTGTTATTATCAAAGTTAATCTAATTAGCTTGTAGATTGACTTATGGCCAAAATGAGTAAATCTTACGTTCTATATAAATATTCGAACACTATCAATTCATTATGACTTTAAATGTAAATGAAATAGTGAAAGTATAGAAACGTTATCGTTGCAATATTGTTTCACAACATCAACAAATCAATCAGCGGTAGAACAATCCCGAGAAAGACCCGATAACTAACCTGGGAGGATATCCGGATCAACCACCCTGAAAACATTGGGGTATCACTGAGTAAACCTCACTATATGTTTTTTATCACAGACGCCCGTATTTCCGCTGGTAAACATCCTCTAATGTAACTTTGTTAAATATTGACTAGGCTTTTGAAAACAAGACATGCGGATATCATAGTTTATTTGACAAAAAGTATGCACATGTCTTTTGTAAAAATCAGTTTCTGCCTTGTTCAAACCCTAATATGTTTATCTCAACATTTTATTATCTTGATATTTTTTGGACGGTCCCGATGACTTCAAGATAACAAGAGTCAACTGTATGTTACAACGATGTAATTTACAAATCTGTATCAATATACAAACATGCCAAACAACTTCTACCATTCATGCACAACTATACCAACCTTGTTCTAACTGAAATCTAATGTAACAGTAAATAAGTAATTATTTGAAAATACTCTTTTAGCTGAACAAAAAGTATTGAAAAAATCTATACATTTTTTACATTTTGTATTAATTTGAATATCTTTTAGATTTTCACTTATTTTTGATACCACAATCATATGAAGGAAAAACATTTCAGCAGTAGTCATAAAAGCAAAAGATTTACAATGAACAAGCAGGGTTCAAAAAGGTTAGCAGTCATGAGCTGGCTAGTGGGACTTGGCTAGTATGTCAAACAAATCTTAGATTTGGATATCAAGTTTTTGTTTTAGTGACATTCACCCTAAACTAGTAACAATCACTCAAAAATGACACCCATGACCCCCTCTGGAAAACTAGTTAAATAGCAGTCAAATTCACTCTGGAATATCTATTGCTAAAATTCTGCTTTATCCTAGGAAAAAATCCAGGATCCATGCTTATAAATCAATAATTCAGAGGCCAATATTTACTACTTTTTGTCATAGAAGGTAAGAAGGTAAACAAGATTCGCTCTAAAGACTTCCATACTATTGTAAAATAATTCAATAAAGAAAATAACGAACTTACTTTCATAGCAAATATATGATCAGTGAATTTAGATCCAAACACAAATTCGGCACCATAATTGGTAAGATCTAGAAATTCTTGGACTCTTTGACCGAGCCAAGACAAAAGATCGAACCCGGCCTGCCATCGTAGTATAATCAAAGCAAAGTAAAACTGCAAACAAAATCCTCCAAACACAGGTCGCCAGTTCACCTGAGGAAAAAACCAAATCCTAAGATTATTTCATTATTTATTTCATGAAAATTCACAGTTGTTTCAAGGCCAGAATTAAACAAATATTAATATTGCTAATGTTTTACATATGATTGCTAGTATATAATTTTATCATTAAATTTTTCAAGTTATACTAATTTGTACTTTATTTCAATTCTTAAACTGAAATAAAAGTAACAAGAGCCATGTCAACATGGCCATCCCCCGCCGAATGTGTTTGCTCATTGGAAGAATGTATATGTAGTAGAGCAGAATAATTCCATTTTAAGAGGTCTTTTGGTGATGAAAACTGATGGCTATAGTGATTACAGATTTGAAACCTATGTGAATACTGATGGCTGAAAATAACAAAGGGCAATAACTGAAAAATAATGCAGGGTAGGTTATCATTCTTGTGTGCTGCATCCCTCCTCAGTAAAATCTATCCACCTATGAAGTTTCAAGTTGATACCTCAAATACTTTTTGAGAAAAAAATTGAAATGAAAAATTAAGAATGAAAAATAACAAAGGGCAATAACTCAAAAATTATAAAAGGTAGAGTTATCATTTTTGTACACCTCCTGAGTGAGATCTATGCACCTATGAAGTTTCATAATGATATCTCAAAGGCCTTTTGAGTTATGCTCTGGACAAAAATTAATTTTGAAAAATAAAAAAAGGGCAATAACTAAACAATAATGCAGGGTAGAGTTATCGTTCTTGTGCACTGCACTCTTCCTCATTGAGATTCATCCACCTATGAAGTTTCAAGTTGATACCTCAAATACTTTTTGAGATAAGCTCCGGACAAAATAGTATGAAAAAGAACAAAGGGCAATAACTCAAAAATTGTACAGGGAAGAGTTATTATTCTTGTGCACAGCATTCCTCCTCAATAAAATCTATCCACCTATGACATTTCATGTTGACATCTCAAACGCTTTTGAGTTATGCTCCACTCGGGTTGAAAAATTAGGTATGAAAATAAAACAATGGGCAATAACTCAAAAATTATGAAAGGTTAGAGTTATCATTCTTGTGCACTGCACACCTCCTGAGTGAGATCTATGCACCTATGAAGTTTCATTTTGATATCTCAAAGGCTTTTGAGCCTATGCTCTGGACAAAAATTAATTTTGAACAAGAGGGCCATGATGGCCTGAGGTCGCTCACCTGTATATAGGCCCCCCCCCCAACCCCCACCCCCAACGTTGCAGGGCCAATTTAACCCAAGGGCTTTTATTTGCACAAACTTGGTAGACACCCATAAGAAGATGTTTCATGCTAAACACTTAAGCTCTAGCTCATTGGGCTTTTTAAAAGAAGATTTTTTTTTAAGTTTTTACTATATGCATATAGGGAAAATCAATGACCCCCTGGGGCGGGGCCAATTTTGACCCCAGGGCTTTTATTTGAACAAACTTGGTAGACACCTATTAGAACATGTTTCATGCTTAATATCTAAACTCTAGCTCTTTGAGTTCTTTAAAAGAAGATTTTTTAAGATTTTACTATATGCATATAGGGAAAATCAATGACCCCCCCGGGCGGGGCCAATTTTGACCCCAGGGCTTTTATTTGAACAAACTTGGTAGACACTTATTAGAACATGTTTCATGCTAAATATCTTAGCTCTAACTCTTTTGGTTCTTTAAAAGAAGATTTTTTAAGTTTTTACTATATGCATATAGGGAAAATCAATGAACCCAAGAGGCGGGGCCAATTTTGACCCCAGGGCTTTTATTTGAACAAACTTGGTAGACATTTATTAGAACATGTTTCATGCTAAATATCTTAGCTCTAACTCTTTTGGTTCTTTAAAAGAAGATTTTTTAAGTTTTTACTATATGCATATAGGGAAAATCAATGACCCCCCGGAACAGGGCCAATTTTGACCCCAGGGCTTTTATTTGAACAAACTTGGTAGACACTTATTAGAACATGTTTCATGCTAAATATCTTAGCTCTAACTCTTTTGGTTCTTTAAAAGAAGATTTTTTTTATTTTTTACTATATGCATATAGGGAAAATCAATGACCCCCTGGGGCGGGGCCAATTTTGACCCCAGGGCTTTTATTTGAACAAACTTGGTAGACACCCATTAGAACATGTTTCATGCTAAATATCTTAGCTCTAGCTCTTTGGGTTCTTTAAAAGAAAATTTTTAAGTTTTTACTATATGCATATAGGGAAAATCAATGACCCCCTGGGGCGGGGCCAATTTTGACCCCAGGGCTTTTATTTGAACAAACTTGGTAGACACTCACTAGAAGATGTTTCATGCCAAATATCTAAGCTCTAGCTCTTATGGTTTTTTAAAAGAAGATATTTAAAGTTTTTTCTTTCGGTTGCCATGGCAACCAGAGTTCTGCATGGAATTAAATTCTTTGAACAATTTTTAAAGGTGACCACCAAAGGAACTTTCCTGTGAAGTTTGGATGAAATTGGCTTAGTGGTTTATGAGGAGATGTCATTTAAAGTAAAAGTTTACGGACGGACGGACGCCGGACGGACGCCGGATGAAAAGCGATCACAAAAGCTCACCCTGTCACTTTGTGACCGGTGAGCTTAAAATAACAAAGGGCAATAACTCCAAAAATAATGCAGGGTAGAGTTATCATTCTTGTGCAATGCACTCCTCCTCAATGAGATCCATTCACCTATGAAGTTTCAAGTTGATACCTCAAATACTTTTTGAGATAAGCTCTGGACAAAATAGCATGAAAAATAACAAAGGGCAATAACTAAAAAATTGTAAAGGGAAGAGTTATCATTCTTGTGCACAACATTCCTCCTCAATAAGATCTATCCACCTATGGCATTTCATGTTGATATCTCAAAAACTTTTTGAGTTTTGCTCCACTCAGGTGAAAATTAAGTATGAAAAATAACAAAGGGCAATAACTCAAAAATTATGAAAGGTAGAGTTATCATTCTTGTGCACTGCACACCTCCTGAGTGAGATATATGCACCTATGAAGTTTCATGTTGATATCTCATAGGCTTTTGGAGTTATGCTCTGGACAAAAATCAATTTTGAAAAATAACAAAGGGCAATAACTCTAAAATTATGCAGGGTAGAGTTATCATTCTTGTGCACTGCACTCCTCCTCAATGAGGTCTATCCACCTATGAAGTTTCAAGTTGATAACTCAAATACTTTTAGAGATATGCTCCGGACAAAAATGTCGGACGGAAGGACAGACGGACGGACGGAGACTATTTCTATATCCCCCGCCGCTTTTTCAGCGGGGGATAATTAAAAAAGCTGTTTGATGACAGTGAGTTTGACTTTTATAAGTACTTGCCTTGATGCGGTGATGACAGTAACTAACAGGTATTTATTTTTCAAAGCAATGCCTCAAAAGGTATACTCTGGGTAGTACAAAATAAAGTGTGATGCAGGCGCTTGTGTGAGTAGGATAGCTCTCCTTATGATATAAATATAATAACAAGTAAATCAAGAGAAGGAGAGAACACACATCAAACATCAGGATGGTTTGTAACTTGTTTATTCTAGGATCTACCGGTTGCGGCCTTTTAAGACCTTCATCCAAATATAATAGACTATTAGTCAAGCTAAAATTGGGAAAATAAAAATATAATCTTAACACAATGAACTTAGTAGGAATTTTTTACCTGTCCTGGATGAGCTGAGAAAATCCAGAGGAATAGAACAAAAGTGAAGAAACCAAAAACAGATATAAGATTTGAAGGTCGCCGAAATCCTATGAGTATTATCACTACGGCGATTCCAACCAAAACCAGCGTACAAGTAGCTCTGAAAGAGAAAAATTATCTGAGATGACTCAGGGGTGATACCTATAAAAGTTGCAGCTTAGTAACATTGTTGCATGTTGCAGTTACTGTGTAGCAGGTGATAAAAAATTAATAACAGGACAAAACACCTTTTTTCAAGGGCCATAACTCAGCCAAAAGTCATTCAACCGAACAACTTGTTAAATATGCACAAGTGCTTGATGTACTGATCAATCCTGTAACATTATTTAAATCATTAAGGGCCATAAATATAACAAAATCACTGAAAAATGCTGACAATATGCGTAACTAGACTTGGTACTGATCATTTCTGTAAAGTGTGGATGACTTTGCACCAGTTGTTTTTGTGGAGAAGTCCAGACACATTTTGTGAGGGACAAATGGACAGAATAGAAGGCAACACAAAAATTAGCTACCAATGTATGTTTGCTCTGGCCTGGCTGAGGCTATACTGATGGAAATTAAAGGCTTATCATTTTCAGTTCCAGCACCAGCATGTTAAAGGCAAAGATTTGTTTGGCATTTTTTTTTAATAAATTTTGTAAAACATCCTTTTTTTATTTCTTTATTAATGCCACCTGAAAACTCATGTCAGAAATATGGTCAGTCACCAACCAACAAGTAAAAAGTAAATGCATGGTCACTGAGCCTTTGCTAATTTATGATCCTTAAGAAATAATTGAAATGTTGAGATATCTAAGGTAACTATAATCTTTAACCTAACATTTATACATTGATGAGTTTGTTCTCGCACTAACATAAACACAACATACCTCATAATAAAAGAGATATATTATTTGGTCTTAAGACAAGTAGTGAAGAATAATGGGTCAAACAGCAGCTCTGTCCCCATCAATCAGTATAGGAAAGTCTGATGATGATATGATAATGAATTAAAAACCTTCAATTATTCAAACATATAAGATTGATAAATTTAATCAATTATAGTAACATTCTACAGTATTTAAAACCGATTCTTGTTAGTAAAAAATATGAAAAACAAGATCAACATGGAAGGCATCCAACAAACGCATCCCCCAACACCTGACCTGACCGGCAATTTACTTACATTTTGATTATTTTTCTTATTTTTCCATTTATAGCTTCTCCAAAAGCAAGTGAGCATTTTTCGAGTTGTGAACTAAAGCATATTTTGCAACGCCAAATGATCACACATGTAACAATGCCAACAACTAGGGTAATCAGTGGACGGACATCCTGGCAGTCATATGTGATAGAAATAACCAGTGCCCATATAAAATATCCCAAAGCACAAGTGCACATTAGTCCAATAAATACCTGAAAGAAAAAAAAATTGCAACATGTTTAATACCAGTAAAAACTACATAAGCAGTGACCTAGTTGCTGTAGTTAAGATGTTTGCCAGAAAGCCAACTAAAGTGTTGTATAAATAGTTTATCTTTTGTCACAATGTATAACACACATTGATTAAGTACTTTATCTGTTGTGCAACACACAATAATTACTTTATCTGTTCAATGTGCATCACTTGAATTACTAAAATTCTAACACACAATAATTACTTTATCTCCTTTACACACATTAATCATATAACTTCTGGTGTATAAAATTTATGACCTACTGGTCTGATATAAGAATAGCCCATTATAGTAATTAGGAACTTCCAATTTATCAACAACAGATATATGTGATTACATGTGATGCCTGATAATAGCATGTAGCAGGAGACACAAAAATCATTAACAGGCCAAAGCGCGGTTTTTATTCAAGGGCCATAACTCAGCCAAAATCATTCAACTGGAAAACTCTGTAATATATGTGCAAGTTCTTGAGCTACTGATCAATCCTGTAAAGTTTCAGTGAAATTGATCAGTGGTAAAAGAGGAGTAGTCCAGGCTATTTCATTTAAAATAAAAATCATAAAAGGGTCATAACTCTGACAAAAATCATTAAACTGGATAATGCCAATGATATTCACAAATAGACTTGGTAATTCATTGGTGATCATTTGTGTAAAGTTTGGATGAAATTGCACCAGTTATTCCTGAGGAGTAGTCCAGACAAGTTTTGAGGCAGATGGACAAACGGACAGACAGGCAGACTACTGAGAAGTGATCCCTATTATATATCGCGGCTACTCAGTGGCAGGCGACACGAAAAGAACAGATCGTTATTCCGCTTAGAATACAAAATTAGTTTTTACTTTTCTACTCTGTCAGGATTATACCCCTCAAATATATAATACCTACCAGGTAATATTAACTTACACCTCTAAGAATGACTTTGTTGGTATCAATAAATGAGCCAATATCTTTATGAATCTGTTGAACATTGTCAAATGCATTGCAGATAGAACTGCTACTACTGCTGGGCGATACATTAGAACTACTATCGGTTGATTCTATATCTGAAAATATCCATTAATTTAAATCATTATTGCATAACGTATCTACAACATAAATATACATATAAATATACATGTCTAATATTGACATATGGTTTAATTATCCATTCGAATAAATTCTTTGAATGAAATATTGAATTAGCACTATGTTTCACTTCAAGGAGACTTACTGACTCTTACAGTAACATTGACATTTGACCAAGTTACCTCAGAAAGGGTCTTGCTGTAAAGACTAAACGCCCATTCTCAATAAAATAAAGCATTTGAGGTTGAAAAATATTAAAAATTTGATGTTGTCATTGTGTCATTTTTTATCGCTGAAGTAAATGTTTAGGGTATTTTGCAAGTTTGCCAGAAATATTTTGAACAAGAAACTATGATATAACAGGATGGCATTTATTTCGGTAATGACACTGTATTTCTTCGGTAACGTAGATTTCAGATCTAATTATGTAACATATTGGCTGCATATTAATAACAAATGTCTGTAAAATATATCAAAATCTGTAAATTCTCTATCTAGAGGGACTTTCTAACCCAGGAAAATTCAAAGAAGTTTGGTACCTTGCTAATTTTCAGTCAATTTCTTCAAAGTTAAATATTCGTAGAAAGCAAAAATAGTCAATTTTGAAAATGATTATTTTATGTCTTTATTCAAAGGATATATATCATATATAATATTTGAGAGGTCGAATGCATACACAATTTTTGTATTAGCATTTTTTTTTCTCAAAATATTCAACTTTCCACTTTCTTGATATTTGGAAAATTTATTACTAAACAGTTTGATATTCATCCCCATAAAGGATGTCACGTATGTTTTCATTTTATTCAAATGCAAGTAAGGTTGAGAAAACAATTTTAATTTTTTGTAAAATAATTTATATTTATGGATATTATTTTAACATTATTATATATAGAATGAAATACGGCCAGTAAGCCTCTTTGCAGAAACGAATTAGTTGTTGCTGAGAACATCAATATCTTTAATATATTTTTAACATTTCTGTTGGTACATCAACATATTATTAAACATATCTTTCCTTTGTAAAATCAATTTTGTGTCTTCTTACATCTAATACAAAGGTAACCGTTACTAACAGGCATGCTAATCCCAACTTTATCTTTAATTTTCAAAATTGTCGAATTGTAAAGTTGGAGTAACGTATGTTTCACACTCGCTTATTTTTAGAACTTTAATCACGGAATTTAAACTTACATGTAAAATCGACTTTTTTTATTTAGGAATCAAATGCAAAATCATTCTATTGTCATAAAAATGCGATTTTATGTTTTTATATATGCATGTGTAAACAATATAAAGTCTGTTTGATAAAAAGTAACGTTTGTTTTCACTGTGGTTACTTAAAACAAAGTAAAAGCACACGACCAAAGTTAACAAAAATTTACTTACTAATGTCAAATAGAAGTTAATGTTGATGTTATACGTGCTTTCTGAACTTCAATTTCCCTTTTGATAAACTTACTTTAAAAAGTTGATAACGTATGTTTCTGTAACGTATGTTTCATTTTTACATTGAAAGTGGGTTAAAAAATGACGCAAGACCGTTTAAGCCGCCATAATTTGTGGGTTAATATATCAGAGTTACAGACATGTTAATTTTCTTTTCTTGTTTTGATTTCTTCTTTGAATGGATTGCTCTTAAATAATGGTAACGTATGTTTCTTTTTAAAGTGCTGTTGAAAGATTTGAATAAAAAATGAAAAATTTTCCGAAAATAGAATGATATTTGAGAGGCTGCAAGCTTATTTTTACTTATAATTATATATAATGCTGTAATTATTAAACATGCATCGATTCAATTTATGTAATTAAGGTTTCATTTCTTATTGTTTTAGTTTGTCACTATTTATTTATATGCATTTGGCGACATTCGATCAATTCATTATACCAATGAGATTTTAACAGTCAAATATAATTTTTACCAATAATCCAAAGTGCATATACACACAGCAATGACTAATTGCCACATGTTCCGTTTATTCTGGAACTTATTTTTCTGAAACACAATTTCAAAGTTGAAAATTCTAGGTGGCGACAGTAACTTTTGTTAACATTTTAGGGCAATTAATGGTACTTGTAAAAGAAAAATAACAGATAGAAATGTAAAACTGAGAGTGTCCCTATTAGACAAAGTGGCAGCCACCTTTCTAACGACATTTTGACCTCCAGAAAAACCTTCGTATACGAGCTACCCAGTGGAACATCAAATGCTGTGTTTTATTGAGAATGAGCGTAAAGCTGATCAAAGGGGCATGAAATTGATAAGTTTGGAAGCTGTAGGTGGAAGCTTTAGATCTTAAATATTTATATAATGATCAAGGTGGTTAAAGTTTTGTGGTAAAAAATAACAGACTGACAGACCAGAAAACAATATGCCCATCTGATTTATTGATCTGCGAGCATAAATAATTCATTGCTTCAATTACTATGTACGTATCTATTATAATATATAATAGTATCATTTACTTTACAATATGTTACAGCGTTCAACTGCTGTTTGTCAGGTTTTAATTGACTTGAATTTCAAACAGATTTTGATCAAATTAAGGTGTTTGGTCCACCTTAATGATTTACCTGCATATTTATTGCCAGTAATTACCAATTTTTCACCAGCAACTAATATCACATAATTTGATTACTAAGTACTGAATCATTGCTTTGTTGAGAGACAACTGACCATCTCACTTGAAGACAGTTGTTTCTTTTTGTCAGTTAATTAATATATAATTAATGAAGGCCAGACATAATGTTATAATGAATTTTTTGCCATCTGAATTTTTAGGCTGCACATCTCTGCAGTCTGACATTTAAGACAGTAATATATAAATGTTGGTGGACAAACTTTTATTCTTATTTTGATTTGCACATACCCGTTAATAATTAATGACATTGCCAGAATGCGTTACCTGGGCAGATTCATTTCAGACTTTGAACATTTAATACAGAATAAAGAAAAAATATAAATAACCTTTAACTTCCACACTAAAATCTTCATTCTTTAACATAGGATCATGTGCCTGACTTGAAGCTGATTTCTCATCTAAACCACCTTCTTCAACACAAATATCTGTATAGGCTGGTGGACTATTAAATAACTGTTGATCATTAGCCAGTCTTGGTGCTGTCGACTTCTCAACTAAGCCGCTCTCATCAACACAAGTATCTGCGTAGGCTGGCATACTTAACTGTGTAACAGTACACAATCATTATGTATTATTAACATTACAACTAATTTATACTAATTTGAGTTAGTTTGATTGTGTTGGAAGTTATAATGTCTAAGTCCCCGCGAGGGGTTTGACATTAACGGAAGATAGATAGATATATAATAAAAAGCTTATTGAAACACTCTCAAATGCTTTCCTGGTATGGAAGGGATTATCCGCCAGTTCACCTATTATGCTTTATGACATTCCAATTTCCGTTTTTACTTTTTCGATAGTGAATTTGATGTTAGATTTTGGTTATTTTCAAGACTTAAGTGTATTTCGTATCTTTATAAAGGCATTTTGAAATATATCTTTGTTATACGTTAATTTTATTTTTATACACGTTTTTGTTGTTTCATTCTGAAAATTGGTATGATTTCCCTTAAAATATATTTAATAAATTTTAATTCAAAATCACACATTAAAATCAACATTAGGTATTCAGTGTATGGATGCTACCATATATGTGTTAATTCATTTGAAATAAAATGTTCAACATTTAATCAAAACGATCGAAACATCATTCGCAGTATAAAATGCTGTTTAACATTGACTCATTAAAACAAAATCGTCTTCATAACAATGTTGACAATATCAAAAAACGAAGCGGGAAACCAAATTTTGTCGGTGACAGAGGTCGCTGTTTAATACAAACTGATCCTTTTCGGTGCGGACGTAAGTCACCTCATGGAAAAGATTCGATCAAACATCGTGATACCCTAGCTGCCTTGAATAAAGCTGTTAGATCTACTAGCTCTATATATAACAACAACGAACATGTTCTATCTTGCATAGGCTAATGCGCAACATATCATTTTTATTTGTTTGGGTCGTCAGACCAAACAAATAATGGTAGCGAAATTTCAGAGCCTAATGCTGTTAATTGCAAATGCCTAAAGTAGTCCACTTTTTTGAAGCCGTTACTTCCCTTTATATGTACACTAACGCCGAAAAATTCAGGGGAGATCAATGCGTAAAGATTGTCAAATGACAGGTGCATTTATTTTCAAGCAAAGTAGTTTCCGAATGGTCGAAGATTTCTAATATTGTTTCATTCTTTATAGATATACATGCTTACAGTAAACTCCATGATTATTAATATCTGTGTTAAACAACAGGTTTAGCGTGTTACAAACCCTAATTTAGAATAATACGGTTTTCTTCAGGCCGTTTACATAAAACTTCACCGTGGCCTAGAGGTTTGCACGCTCGCTTATGAATCGAGAGGTCTGGAGTTCAAATCCCAATGAGGCAACTTTTTTTTTTTTAATTTTTTAAGTCAAATAAACATTGAATTGCCTATCAGTGTTGCAATTAGTCTTATAGCCAGTTTACTACAATTAAAACACTGGAAAGCATTGGTGGCACTATACAAAAACAAATTGGTTTATATAATAATCTCACAACCTTCACCTTTCTGACATTCTGAGACCCAAACAAATTCAGCGCCTTCTGTGCTTTGATTATTCTTTAAATCAACTCATTTTTGAAGATCTTTCAGAAAAGGTTTGCATGTGGCATACTGTATGCGGTGGATTTTGAGATATTTTGCCTCAAACTTGGCTTCAAACTTAGTTTTCTTAGTATCAGATTCGTGAACGCCGGTCAGGGAGCGGTTATTATTTTTTTCATTTTTACCAGTTATTCCCCGTAGATTAAAAGGGGCAATTCTAGCGCAAAAACCTAATTAATTTTGAATTATACTTCGGAACTCATAGTGTGCTATGCAAAATGCTGTTTCGAATACATAATACACAATGTCAGCATGGGACTAAAATTACCATGATTTTTGTAAAATAAATACTGAAACACTGTAAGAATAAAATGTGTGTCAAACTAGAGGATGCTTTTGTAAAAAAGCGCATGTCTCCCCCACTGCTGAGAATAACTGTGAATGGAAACAGGAATGGAAATGGAGATAAAAGAACAGTGTATATAAAACCAGACAACTGATATATCACTGATATATCAATAATAGTTAAATGTCCTCACTGATAAGAACTCTAGTTATCATCCGGAAATGAGAAAATGACCAATGGTCACTGTGACCTTAACCTTTGACCTACTGACCCCATAAACAAGAGGGATCATCTGCTCAATAAGACCAATCATCCTATGAAGTTTGAGGGTTGTAGGTCTAAAGGAACTCGAGTTATCATCCGGAAAGGAGAAATTAACCAACGGTCGCTGTGACCTTGACCTTTGACCTACTGACCATTAAAACAATAGGGATCATTTGATTAATAAGACCAATCATCCTATGAAGTTTGAGGGTTGTAGGTCAAAAGGAACTCTAGTTATCATCCGGAAATGAGAAATTGACCAACGGTCACTGTGACCTTGACCTTTGACCTACTAACCCCAAAAACAATAGGGATCATCTGCTCTATAAGACCAATCATCCTATGAAGTTTGAGGGCTGTAGGTCAAAAGGAACTCTAGTTATCATCCGGAAAGGAGAAATTGACCAACGGTCACTGTGACCTTGACCTTTGAACTACTGACCCCAAAAACAATAGGGATCATCTGCTCAATAAGACCAATCATCCTATGAAGTTTGAGGTTGTAGGTCTAAAGGAACTCTAGTTATCATCCGGAAACGAGAAATTGACCAACGGTCAGTGTGACCTTGACCTTTGACCTACTGACCCCAACAACAATAGGGATCATCAGCTCTATAAGACCAATCATCCTATGAAGTTTGAGGGCTGTAGGTCAAAAGGAACTCTAGTTATCATCCGGAAACGAGAAATTGACCAACGGTCACTGTGACCTTGACCTTTGAACTACTGACCCCAAAAACAATAGGGATCATCTGCTCAATAAGACCATTCATCCTATGAAGTTTGAGAGCTGTAGGTCAAAAGGAACTCTAGTTATCGTCCGGAAACGAAGAATGGACGGACGGACTGACGGACGGACTGACGGACGGACTGACGGACGGACGGACGGACAGGGCAAAAACAATATGTCTCCCCCCGAGGTGGGGGAGACATAATTAATTTTAGAAAGCAAATTCAAATAAAGGAAAAATACTTGAAAGCTAGCAAATTAAATATCTAATTATAGTTTGCATGTTTACAGCCTTAGAACTGAAGTGTAAATTGAATGTTTGCATATTTCAATAAGAACTCGAGTTACGTCAGCAAGTACAACATCTTAATATTGCATAATGATTACAACGTATTAATAATAAAGTCTCCATATTAATAACAATGTTTTCATAATAATAATAATAATGTTTTCCTATCAATAATAATGTCTTCAAAATAATAAGAATGTATTCATATTAATTACAATGTATTCATATAAATTAGAGTGGCGGACAATCCCTTCCATATCCTGGGACCAACAAGTACTAACAAGGAGTGTAGTTTCTTGCTCACGGAAACATTTAACAGCTTGCCACTGACTTTGTATTACATTTGTAACATCAAATGGTATATTAAATAATTTGAAAATCATGCCAAAACTTCAGTTTTAGAATTTAAAAGACCTATTTCCATATTTCTTTAGTTGATCCAAAGATTTAGTAAAAAATAGTTACATATACATTGAAATCTGGGTTGATCTCTTGACATTTAAAAATACAAACACAGAAATCCTTATAATTAATGATATGATAATAAATGACAAGGAAACAATCACAATAGACATATGATCCTATAACAAGGACACTTACATGAAAGTCATGTAGATCTCAATTTTATGTTCCTGGTTACAAATAAATCTCGGTACATAGATCTAGTTATAAATTTAAACTTCAAACATAGTATAAAATAGAAAGGTACACATGGTTTGATAATAAAATCTATATTTTAAATGAACTACCTTAAAACTAATATCTTACTAGATACAGGTAAAATATGCAGGTTTCCAACACACACTAGCTACCACGTGGAGAGACCCACGTGGAGAGTGCATGGGCATGCTTCCAATATAAGTTGTTCAGACAGATCTATGTGTTGTCTTTTTATTATTACAAATCTAGATGATTATTTTTCAATACACATATTTGATGAGAAATATAGATGGTAAAATATTACCTGTGTTTAAATCCGCAACATCCACACGTGGCATACAATAATTATTGCTATGAACAACGCGCTAATATTAGGAGCGGTTTCTTCACTCGTGTACCTATTTCCCGCGCGATCGGCAATAAACAACTCCCATTGGATAATGAATAACAATCGTATGACGCAATATTGCACAAAGAAGAGGCGGAATTATTGTTGTTCAGTTATCGATCTTCAGGTGGTAATTTACGACACTGGTGTTTGTTTAAGATATTAGAATTACGATACTTTCTTTCTATAGACGCAGGCTGGCTTCGATTTTTCAAACCCGGAAGTTAATGTAACAAAATATGTTTGAACCCGTTGTGAAGACTAAATATTTTATTTATATCTTGGGTACAATCCTCTTTGTGACGTTACTGTAAAGTATATTTATGAATGAACAGATCGTGATTACAATTTTAGTTTAGTTTATAATATCGATTTGTATAAATATGCACGCGCGCCTTTTTCGTGATTGGACTAATCATACAGTTCAGTACAGTACATTTTATGAAGGAAAAAAAGCAGGAAGAACAAGAAAAAACATATTCGCAATGAAGAAGAAAAAACATAGCGTCAGCAAAATTTAATGACAGAATTATTAATAAACTACATTGTATTTCTAAGGCTTATCTAATTTTGAATTAAACTATAATACACTTGTATACGAAACATTTTTAATCACAAAAAATTTAAGGTATAATTATTTGTCACCCTACGACATTCTGAATTTTATTTGATATAATATTCGATATAGAATTAATATTATTTTTAAAGTTTAAAATTTATCGTATGTCCCAGAATATACACGAATCCGTCGCTCAATGAAGTATATATTATTCAATAATTTGTCTGTCATATACTTTTATCAAAAATGTGTACATCATCATCATCATCATCATCATCAATCATTATCATTATATATATTATTATTATTATTATTATTATTATTATTATTATTATTATTATTTAACATCATTCTGTAAGATCTACTGCGAATGCCTATTTTCCGGTTATGTCAACTGCAAATATCTTTACAACAAATTAATTAAAACCGTACAACAATTGCATGATCATGATGTTGTCTGCTGTACAGCAATGACTCTGAGCATTACGTCTAATAAAGTATTAAGATACAAACAATTTTATCACCTTATCAATTAGTCTATTCATTATTTAGTCTAGAAAATCATTATCATACGCTAGTCATACTGTAGCAATCATTTACACGTGATTGACCATGAAAAGGTCACGACGTACAAAAACCAGAGGTACTTGTGTGACTTGGAGAACAATGGGTAACAGTAAATTCTCTTTAATCCTATTCATTCGGAATTTCCAATGTGTCTTTTTTAATGCAGGCGTCACACTGTCCCGAATTTCGCATCAGATATGGACACACGAATAAGGAAAAGTTCAAATTCGGAGCTGATCGTAATAACATCGGTATCTTTTGCAATCGTATGACCCCCGGCTAAATTTTTCTGGCTCCGGCAGCAACTTCGTGAACGGTCGCAAAATTTTTGGCATGCCAAAAAATTGCCGGAAGGCATTGCGAAGGTTCATTTTCATGTTGAATTCGTATGCCAATTTTGCGCTTCGTAAGGCCGTCATGAAGCCATCTTGTCAAATCGTGTAGTCTTCGTCTTTGCTTCGTGTGATCATCGGTTTAATCTGGTATTTTTAGCCTCAAGAAGATAATACGAAGGAAACACGAAGATTCCCGATAGTCCTAAGAAGGGAACACGACTGCGTGAAGCCCTCGCAATACCGTCGTGTCGCCATCGTATTTTGGTACGATGTCATCGAGATGGGACCACGATGAGGGCGAAGAAAGCAAATTTGAGTGGCTAAAGCATTGCATGTTTATCATGGTGGGCATATAAACGGCTAGCCTCAGACCATCTTCCTCATCTGTTAGTCCTGCACATCTCTACAGATACATCAAAGGTTATCTCTACAGATACATCAAAGGTTCCATTATTTGCAATTAATTAACAACTATTTTTCAGTTTATTTCCTGCAGAGTTACATGCTTTGATGATGAGCCAACCGAGAAAAAGAAGACACAGCATTGCTACTTTTAATACACCTTAAAAAACATGATTAACAGCTCCTACAGGCCCACATTGGGTGGCATGATTAGTTCAAACAAATATGATAAACAAGATCAAAAAGGAAAGGCGGCGTTCATTGAACGCAAATGGGCACACGGGACGGGGATAGGAGATTCGGGGAAGTAGGGGATTAAAGAAATAAACTATGGGCAAAAGGGAAGATGCTTTCCGTAGACAAGAAAACAACAAGGGACACAGACAAGTGTCACCAAAACAGTATGTAACAACAAAGATATACATCTGAGGAACACAGATCTAGGGGCGCCGCCTAGGAACGGTCAGCAGCATAAGAACTGCTGGAGAGTTGAAACCGGTTAATGGTGCACCAAAACCCCTCAAATCTTAGCCCCACCATGTTTTCCTATAAACGAGACGGTGTAAATAAATAGAATCCCCAAAGTGAAATTTTTTTAAACAGTTGTTATGGTTACAAAAGGGTTTTGGGAAAAAAAATAAAGGTTTTTTTAAAGCCCACCGGGAAATGATCATGTAGAAAAAATATATAAGAAAACCCAATGACCATAACAAAAGTACTCAATATCTTAATGAAAGACGGAGCAAAACAAGATCATCAACTACAAGGGTCCGACGAAGCAAGGCAGAAGACGAACATTAAAATAATTCATTCCCAAAGGGTTTTAAGGACTATCCATCATAGAGTCTCCCACTTGGTCCTTCATAATTATGTAATCAAAAGAGGAAAGCGTAGCGTCCAACTATAAAAGTGATGAACACTAAGCTTGCGGTATATCTTAAATTAATAGGTCATAACCTCTTTTAATAGAACGTTTAATTATAAATTTTAGTAAAGACAACAAAAAAAATACAATGACCCAAAAAATCTTACAAATTTTTGTAAAAATTTTCCCCCCTTTTTAAAAACCCAAAAAACTGTCAACCCCCTTTAAAATCACTTTTTGAAATTTTGAGTTTTTAAATTTCAAAGTTACGATAGACAATTTTTTTTAAAATTTTTTTTTGTTTTTTAAAATAGGGGGTGGGTTTGAGAAAAATTTTTTTGGGGTTTTATTTAAAATAAAAAAATTTTTTCGTTCGTTTAAAAAAATTCCTTCACGTTCAAACAAAAGATTTTTGCGAATCTTATTAAATGAGTTTAAAATGACAAAATTAACCCCGAAAGGATTTTGGCGGGCGGAAACGAAAACCCCCATCAAAATTTGTGGAAATTTTAAACTATAAAAAAATTTCCCAAGAAAATTTTTTCTTTTTGTAAGCCAAAAACGGTAGGGTCCCCCTAGAATGTCAAAAGGTCTTTCCCATTTTGAAGCACAATTATTTTTTTAAAAAAATTTAAAATTTGATTTTTCCCAACTTTTTAAAACTGTGAAAATTTTCTAAAAGGTTTTTTATTACGCTTCGAGGGAACTCTTTGGTTAATTTTTTTTTAAAATTTCACCCCTTCGGCCCAGAAATTTTCCAAAAAGTCTGAGATCTAAGCGCCCAATCCCGGTCAACTACGGGGGACGTCTTTTTTTCTTTCCCGATCTTTTTAACCTTTTTTTTTTCGTTCGCGGGAAGGAAAAAAGACAATACTGGCAATTTAAGGCAACCATAACGGCGCAAAACAAAAACAACGGCCCCTTAATTGTTAAGCGCCCACCCTCCCGATTAGTCACGAAAACAAGTCAAACCAAATCTCAGACGAACTTGACCCCTTGGACCTGCCGCGTGCTTTCTCTGCGACGGCACGACCGGGGGGGGAAATTTGGAGAAAGCCCTGTTTAACAGCAAAGGAGAACATATCTTGTTAGTAAAAATAACATGAGACAATAGGGCTTATCCTGTTTAAACTATCCTTCTATCTAACATACTTACATGATCTTGTTAATATAAAATCTCATTCTTTTAATTTTAGGTATAAAAATGTAGCCATTATCCCTCAGGTAAGAAACCAACCAGTTAATGGCAGCAACTCTTTTCGTTCCTATATGCACCTTAAACTATGGAATTCACTTCCTCAACACCTCAGAAATGGAAGTGCATTATGAACCAATTTAAAAGTTTAATTGGGTTAACCATGGAATGGAGAGAGTTTGCCTCATCGTACTTTCTGTCAATAAACCTGCATTATAGTTTAGTCCATCTTCAGTTTTGTTTTCTTGCCTGCTTTTCTTTGTTTTGCTTGCTTACTTACATGTATCTGTTTTTTTCACAATTTGGCTTAAAAATTTTTGTTAATATTTCTCAATATAAATGATTATGTACATGTAATTATTTTTCCAGTATGCTTGAATTTTTTGTTTGCCTTATTGGACAGCTTATTGCGAAAAGTTTGCTCATTGAGAGAAGGCTTGCCTGATTCACTTCTTACAAAATTTTGAAATTGGGATTTTTATTTATAAAACCTAATTAATGGTTAACAGTTTTGTGGATCCTTTTCATTTTCAAATATCGTATATCCTTTTCTTTTATAGCAGTCCAGGCTAGGCCTGGGTCCAAGATCAGCAGTATCCACCACTTTTAATGTTATCTTATTTTATGTATGTGCTAATATGTTCCGCCATTTTATCCAGATATTATATTATTTCTTTCACTTATGATACAGTATAGATCTTTTAAAAGCATATCCTTAGCATATCATTACTATTTAATTAATTATTATTATTTTTATTTAAAATTATAAGACATTTAGTGTCCTACATCCCATCCACAAAGGAATCGGACACTTTCGTTTAGCTTAAATCCCGTCGCGCGCATGCGCGGAATCGGACTTAAAGGGTGGACAGATGAATGGCGGAACGCCTGAGTGGTGAATATATTGACATATTTTTTCACAAGAGTATGTGGTGTTATTGCAGCTTGTGAAAAATTAAATACAACCACATAGAATCTAATTGATAAAAGTATTTTTTTTGTGCAGCTAAGTTTTAATATATGAAAATAATTAAAAATTATGCCGATAGAAACGCTGCGACGCTTATTAAAAAGCACCAAATTTTAAAAAAATTTTATTGCCCTTTGTTTAGGAAATACTTTCTACATTTTGAGGGCCCTTTACGTCAAACATAAATTTTTTAGGGGGCGTTTCAGTTTAAAAGTTTAATTATTTTTTCTTTTTGGGTTTTTAAGGGTTTGGCTTTTGAAAAAAAATGTTTCTTAAATTGCTAAAAAATTTTAAAGAAATTCATTTTTGGAAATGTGTCTTTTTTTTCTGTAAAATTTTTTTCCAAAATGTTTTGGGAAAAAATTTTTTTAATTTGATAAAATTTAATTAATCACTTTTTATAAATTTATAGTAAAATATTTTTTTACAAATTTGGTTTTATTAAATTTTATTTTTAGACTTTTCCTAGAAATTCGTTTCTTTTAAAGTTTTGAATTCTTTTAAAAACATTGAAAAGGGAAAGAAAACTTTTAATTGGCATATTTGAAAAACCCAAGCTGTTTTAAAAATTTTTTTTTTAAAAAACCGATTTTTTTTTTCTTTATTTTATCTTCACAATTCACGTAAAATGATTTATTTGTCATATTTTTTTTTTTCCCAACTATTTTTCAAAAAGGAAAATATAAAAATTTAAGTTTTTATTTTTCAATTTCAATTTTTATAAATGTTAATAGAAAAAAAGTTTTTTCCATTTTTATTTATTTTAATCCGCTTAAAGAATCTTTTTCTTACCACACATGAATGGATTTGGTAGTTAAAGACCGCGCACAAACAACATTTACAAATAAAAATTCTATTTCTTCTTTTTTTTTTAATTTTTAA